ATTTCCTCCAGAGTTAGTTTCATTAATTTGTCTTCCAAGGTACTTCTTAGAAGTTGTCAAATTTATTTCAAAAAAGATTTTTGTGATATGCTTTCTATATCCTTTTAAATTCTGTAAAATCTGTGGTAACGTCTCCTAGATCTTAATATTGTAATTTTAAAAATGTATAACTGATATTGTGTAACAGGAAGAAAAGGTCTAAAGGAGCAGGGAAATTGGGAGGGGTAGGGGAAGGCAAAAAAGGGAAAGGAAAAAATATGAAAAGAAGAAAAAAAATGGAAACAAGGTCTTTGCAAATAGGGAAGAGTGGAGGGGGTGGAGGGAAAGGGAAGGGGAAAAAAATAAGAACCAAGAGACTCATGTAATGGTACAAGATCCCAATGATGAATATAACTGTATTTTGTACCGAAAATGTACCAATAAACTTAATGGGAAAAAAAATTATTTTTAAGACCACTTCTCCCATCAAACTTTTTCTACTATTGTGTTCATCTTTTCCTACTCTAAACTTATTTAAACTTTATTTTTAGTATGAAACAATACATTGCAATTTATGGTACATTATTGTCCCTTTCCTTAAGTACCTCAGTTGGTGTTTCAAACTACAAGTTTCCTTGTTTCAAACTATTTCCTTTCCTCTTTCAAAAGCACCTATTCCTTGAAGCTTGTACCCCTAAATTGAATTAGTGATTCCTTCTTCAAGCAGTTGTCATCTATTGATTTCTCCATCATTGCCTTTATTCTTTGGAGATTTTAACAGCTGGGATGGGCTTCCACCACACTTTACCTAACATCACCTGGATGATCTATCCAACACCCTGTCCTCTCTGCTTCTCAGTGACTCTTGCTTCTTCATCTTTTCTTTCTCAGAAATTCCCATGGTCATATTTTTGGCCTTGCTGTAATGGCTTGTATCTAGATGCCCCCCTGAAATCCTCACCTGACCATAGGTGTGGAGTGCCAAAGATGGCTGATTAGGATATGTGAGTGTGTTGTTGGGTTTTTTTTTGTATGTTTGGTTGTTTTTTTTTTCATACTGGGGATCAAACTCGGGACCTTGTGCTTGCAAGGCAAGCACCAGAACCACTGAGTTAAATCTCGGGCTCTGGGTATGTGAGTGTGGATTAAGGGTGTGATACTGGGATTAAGGATGTATATCATGGAAGCTCCACCTTGGGTGTAGGTGGCACCAATTAATAGGTTTACAGCTTTTATGGAATACAAAGGGAGAGAGGAAAGGCGGTCTGTTGCCACTGCTGCCTCCTCTGCCATGCTGCCCTAATTTGGAGTCAGCCAATTATGGACTAAAACCTCTACAAGTTGTGAAGTGAAATGAATCTTTCCTCCTTTAACATTGGGTATTGGGTATTTTGTCTGAGGAACGACACTTGCCAATACCAATAATTTTACAGCATTCAAAGTCTCACTTAGAAGTGCTTCTTTCTAGATTACCACAACCTATTTGTCATGGTTTATATCTAGATATCCCCCAAGAGCCTCACATGCTTATAGGCAGGCATTTTGGAATGCGATTGGACAGTGGGGAGCTGTAACTGACTTGCTCTTAGGAGGACACTGGGAGGTGTCTGTCTCCCTTCCTGACTCCTCCCTTCTCTTTCTGCTTCTTGACCACCATGATGTGATCAGCTTTCCTCCAGCTTTTCTCTGTCCACAACCTCCACCGTGCCATTTTGTTTCTGCCTTGGAGTCAGCCAACAATGGACTATAACTCTGAGCCAAAATAAACCTCCCTTGGTTTAAGTTTTGGGTTTCAGGTTGTCCCAGCAAAGAGGAAAGTGACTAAGACACTATTCTTCTAGCTTATTATTCTACCATACCCAGCAGGCAATTATCTGACCTGACTGAGACCCCTGAACAACAGCCACTAACACTTTACACTATCTGTCACTCTTTTTTTGTTTTGCTTCCTGCTTGTATCTGGAATAACTTTCATACTTTATCTTTATCCACTCTCCTTTTTAATCAGATAGAAACTCTCTCATCTTCCCAATACCAAACATATAGGCTCACCTGCATTGTCTCTGCTTCTCTCCTGTCACTATGTATAAGGTGAAATTGTAAATATCCACAGTCAATTCTACCACTCACGATTTTACTCAGATGCCATGTTCTCTCATCTCCTTTAGGTCTCTCCTCTGCTGTAATTAGGCATCCCCCTGTCCTGCACCATTAAGCTCTCTCTTAGGATGGAGTTATCATTTGCCAATCAACATGTACTACTATGATTAATCTTTAAAAAAAATTACCTCTCCCTTGATCACCTACTCCTTATCACCTACAGTCTCATCTCTCAAATCTTTTCAGCAAAACTCCTGGGTAAAGCAGTGTATTCTTGCTGCTGCCATTCCTCTTGGGCCTTTCTAGCATCATCCATTTTAATTGGGCTTTGGTCCCCTACATGACCTGAAACTGCTGTGATTGAGGTCACCAGTGACCTCCATTTTGCACAATCCTATGGGTATTATTTATTTTATTCCATCTTTCCAGAACATTCGATCACTCAGAGTACCTAAACATTTCCATGCTCCTGTTTTACTCTTGTCTTCTTCTTAATTATCTATTGGTTCCTCCTCTGCCTGACTTTAGAGCTTGCCTCAAGATGATGGTTCTCAAAATGTGATTCTGTACCAGCAACATCAGTGCCCCCTGGAACTTGTCAGAACTACAAATTCTTGGCTTCAGGACTGGTTCCACCAGTTAACCTGGGAATCAGCCTTAATTCCTTTTTTTTCCCCCTCACACAAATATAATTGGTCAGAAGTCCTATTGGCTCCACCGCCATTATATATTTCCAATTAATTTCGTCTCATCTTCTTCACCTTGAACACCTTAGTCCAGGTCTTCAAGAGTGCTCATTTGTGTTACTTTTATTGCTTCCCTCTGCTTCCACTTTCCTCCTTCTTCCTTTCCTTACTATACACTGTAATTAGGGGATCTAAAAAAAAAAAAAAAAAGCCTGCTCAAAGCCTTCCAGGAATGTCTGCATGAAACTGCACTTAGAATAAAACTAAAATGTCCCCATGCAGCATTATAGATCTCATCTCTGCTTGTCTCTCTGATCTCTCCTTTCACTTTTTCCTTTGCTTATTGTATTCCAGCAGTAGCTATATGTCCCCTCAAGGCAACATCTTGCTCTTCCCACTACTTATATGTTCCTCTTCTTTCACTAGTGCATGACTGACTCCTTGTTTTCCTCTCTGCCCAAATGTCCCTTCAGAGAGAGGCTTTCTAATCCCTAGGTGAAATCTTGTTCCTCTCTCCCAGTCGCTCTCTATGTATTATACTTTTATTGTGTAAAATCATTAATTACAATGTGAATTTATCTAACTTGTTTGCTTACTTATTGTCTATTTTTGCCACAGTGTGTGCAGCTCCATAAGACTCTGACTTCCTATTTGGTATATTTTAATACCTACGACAAGGCCTGGTACAGTAGGCATTGAGAATTATTCAGTGAATGAATGAAACTTACAGGAGAGAAGTTTAAGGTCAGAAAGGCAAAAGATTCATGTACGTTAACTCTCTTAATTCATCTATAAATGTGGCAAACCATTTTCCCTAGCTAAGAGCCATCAGCAGATTCTCATATTCAGAGATAAACATGTTCACAGAAATCAAGTGATGGCTCAGTTATCTACTCTACTTAAATATCTGTCTTCCCTTCCTTGGATGAGCCATATTAACACCTTCTAAAATCAGTGTTACGTGACTCCATTTTAACTAGATATGATTTTGTGCTATTCTGTATTTAAATTTCTACTAGCCAATTAAGATTATGTGCTGTGTAAGACAGAGACTACATCTAATGCTTTTCTTCTAGTAACTGGAGAATGAAGAAAGTATTAAAGTAACAGCTAAACTAAGCTCAGCCACCAAATTACTGCCTGCTCAAGAAAGGGTATGAAGCTCCTGACCATCAGTGAGTCACACAATGAGCTCTCAGAACAATGATGGACAAAATAAAACAATGAAATAAAATAACAAATCATAAAATGTATTTGTAATTTCTTCCCTTCAATCTGGGGCTTGTATTCTCAAAATAGAAGCCTTACAAATCTTTGTAGCTTCAGGATCCACGATCCTGTGGTATTTTCTGTATCTGTAACTTCATCCCCAGCCCTTAGTGCCATTTCTCAGACTTCAAAAAAGTATAGTGTTCAGTTTTGAGAAGCAAATAGATAAAGCAAATGACTGCCATACCTTCAGTAGATTTTGTTAAATCTTCAGCTTGGTTCTGGCTAGTGGGCTCCTTGGTATCCTTAGAAATCTCTGACTTTTGAAGTCTAAGCACATTTGAAGACTCCTGTTCTGAAACTGTAGATGGCTTGGAATCTAAAAGAGTCCCCAAATAAATATGATATTTTGGGCAATGATGTCATAACTAATGCTTGTATGAACAAACACTGAACAAGATGTTTTACAATGTACAAGGTGCTTTCCCCCCACCCTCCTGGGCAAGATTAAATATATGAAAGCCATCAAAAAGCAGAGATTGTTGATACTATGATCCAATGTTGGCCAATAGCAAACAGGATAGTATCTGCAAAGTCCACATTTCCAGGATCTGGCTGGTTCTTTGTTGGTATTCTGAGCAAACAATAGAGTTGTTGCCTTGTGTTATAAAAAGGCCATAAAATTTGTCTCTACTTTTACCTGGTGATGATGACTGAGAGGATTTTTTAGAAAAGGTTGGTAATCTTAAATCTATTCATTCAATTGTAATTCATTATTAAAATAAATGTTTCTAAGAAATAGTCATAATATGAAACATATTTAAAAAATAAATCTAAGTTTGGGGAAGAAAATACCTTTCAACTTGTGTGTGTGTGTGCTCTGGTTGAACAGTTGTAGCTGCCTAGAGAGTACTGTGCTGAGAGGCTTAAAATTAATGCTAAGTCGTCCTACTATTGGTAGAAGTTCGATTATGTAGTTAAGGTGGAATAGGCCACATCTCCATTGAAAGTGTACATTTTATTCACTTAATTAGTGTGTGTGGGTTGATATTTCAAGACTGTAATGAATGTCTTACTCCTCAACAACTTTTCACTATTTCTTTTATTTTAAAAGTCAGTCTTCTATGTGCTTTGGGTAAATTATAAACACAGAAATGAAAGCTAAATTTCATTTACAATTTGGTTTTCTCATGTAACTCCACCAAATCTATACTATGCAGATCACAGTTGGTTCTGTCATCAGCTATCATTATGACAAAAGTGTTATAAACTAATTATATTCAAAGTGCCTACTGTTAGGTATTATTCAGTTAAGTACAGTTAGTAGGAATAAGAATTGCATTAACTTATTACCTGAATAAAGATCAGATGTATCTTGATAGGCTGTTTCATTTGCATCTTTATCTTTCTTTGTAAAAGGAGGCAGTTTTTTTGAAAGCTCATCCAGATAATTATACTTAAAACAAGAGCCAAAAGATTTATTTTAGACTCACTCATGGCTGAAAGGCAACTGCCACAAATATGTTCAGTTGATGAGCATATTTTTATGATGAAAGCATATTTTTAAGACTGTGAAAATGAATGAAAAGTTCTCCAAGAGAGTGATTAACTGAATTCTAGCCTTTGCTAATTAGTCATAATTTCCTATAATTTCTTCTGCTCTGTTACTATCAGCATCTGGAATCTTTGAGGAGTGCTGGTGTTCTGAATACATGAAGGATTCATTTTGCTACAGGATTTTAGTGACTCCCAGGTAGTGAGGGGCGGTTGGGCCTGTGGCTAATATCTTAGTGCTACCACAGTAGCTGGTGGGTGAGAAAATTTCAGTGATGTAAACATTTCAAAATGCAATTTATCAGAAAATAATCATTGATTGGTAGCACTTAACTCCCCCCAAAAGAGTTTAAAATAGCGGGGAGAGGATAATTAATAGTTGTAAAATCACCAGTGGGCTGAGGGTTCTTTTGCTCAATTTCAGTGAAAATCATGAATCAGCAAAGTGCAGCTCCATCAGTGAAGGGGCCTGGTTCTGGGACCTGAGTACATGTGCACCTCAGGCCTTGGCGTTCCAGCTCTTGGTAGTGCTGAGCTATCACTTTCAGTTCTTCAGCAGCTGAGGTTCATAATCCCTTTGGCAGCTTTCTGAGCTCCTCTAGGAGCTTCCACTGGCTCTGTCAGGGTTCTCTGTAGGTCTCTGACAGTGTCTGCTGGTCTCTGCTCCTGGTACCCCCTGATCTCTGCTGTTTGATGCTGGTCTCTGCGATCTCTGCCACTGTCTGGAATCTTCAGGGCTGGAAGCTCTTACCGTTAATACCTCCTTCTAATGCAACCTGCTTTGCCTGTACTACCCAAGACAAGAATCAATGCATAGTTTTATGGGACTATATGAGCAAGGCTTTATTGGGACCTGTGTTGCAACATGGAGGGTCAGTACATTAGAGGGAGTCCTCCTCTATTAAGCACAGGAGTGTGAGGGAGTTTTACTTATCTTGAGCAGGAACATGCTAGTACCTGCACAGTTTTCCATGTTTCATGGACCTGCTTGAGAACTTTCACAGTAATAGGAAGCAGGGGAAGGTATAGTCATCAGGAGTAGCTGCAGGGCAGAGTCATCTAGGACAGGTTCCTAGATATGATCCAGGATAGACACCTACTGTGGCTAATATCTCTGGAGTAGCATGAGGTATCTAGGGCAGCTGTAAACTTCAAAAGAAGCAAGCACTTGATTGACAGCTCCCACAAGTTCCTGAAAATGACGGGGCTGAATTGTGAATGCCATCTTTTTGAGGAGTCTCCAGGAGGACAGGAAGTACTGATCACGGCTCCTTGGGGCTTGGGGATTTCAGCAATGGGCACTGGTTACTCTCTCATCTTTGCCCTATCATGCACAGTTTTTTGGCTGCACCTTAGAGAATTAGAACCGAGTGGCCCAGAATCAGGGAGGGGATCACAGCCGGAAGCTGGGCCTGGAAGGCAGCTGGTGAAGTAACCCTTGGGTGGTGGGAAGGTCTGGGGCTAGCTGCCTCAGGCCACCTTTGAGGAGATGAGGGGGAGTGAAAGGAGGAGCAAGAACGCTGTCAGACATGATGCTTCCTTCTGGCTATGAGAGGGCACAGGGGTGGGGCCAGCCTCATTTCTTTACAATCTCAGGAGAGTGATAATAATGCACGTGTAGAGAATTTCTACACTGCAAGGAGAACTGAAATGAATCATCCTTGTGTGAATAAGGATTTGTTAGACTGATGTGGTAGAAAATTAAACAAAATCAGGAAAGATAGATCACATATTAATGTAAGCTATATATGACTTTTATAAAGATTGTGATTGATAATTGCATTCAGTTACCTGGGACTGATATAACTGGCTCAATTCAGAGTTGAAATAGGGTTGCAGCACTTTGTTCCTAATTTCTGTTAGCTGATTTTTTGTCTTCTCAATTTCCTTCCTGGTTGATATTTCCATAATGATGCAAAAGAAGACATAAGACATTACAAATATTATTTGCTTATGTTTTAGCTCCAAAACTACAGAAAATCAATGCAATCACCAACAGTAAAATTGACAAGAATTGTTTCATTGGACAGACAGATTTTTGGTCAATTTATTTTCATTCACTTTCTCCTCCTCCTCCTCCTCCTCCTCCTCCTCCTCCTCCTCTTTTTTTCCCCTGAAATCACTCATATTTCCTACTGTGGAAAGCAGACTCCCATGTAAGATTGGAAATAATGATACCAGGTTAGTTTGATTTTACAGCTGATCTCAAATGACTGCAAACTATGTAGCCCTATGATGGCTGAAGTTTTTGAAGTTCCTCAATTCTGAAATGTAAATAACAGCTAGAGAGTCTACTGGTTTACAATTTCAGTAGCAGTGGTAACAAAAAATAAAACTCAAGGGATGTCCTATAAGTAATATGGTCAGCTACAAAGTTATTAGCAATCATAATAATCCTTCTGGTTGCCTTTTGAATAGCAGAGTCCCTCTACTGGAGAGACAGCACACAGGAAGTTTAGTGAGATGCATATCGACATTATTGGGTAAGACTTCCTATACTCCTTTTACAGGGCAAAAAATCAAGACATGGAGAGGCCAAGTTATCTATTTCAAATCATATAACTAATAGAGATAAAGTCTGCATTGAAACCCAGATTGCTTCTTCCAAGATCATGACCTTGACAATGGCACATATTTGTCAACCTCTAGTCATCCAATGTGAGAGCTGGAAAAACCTTAGATATTTGGTAATCTCATCTTTCATAGTTAAACTGAATTCTTGAAGTGAATTTTACTGCAGTGAAATGATCAGTGAGCACAATACAACCTTAAAAATAATGAAACTTAACTGACTCTATATATGCTGACTCTAAGACCAGGCCTCTTATATAAAATGGCATGCCTAGAAATATCAGACAGATAAGATCAACATATCATCTTATTCAAACAACTTTAATTCCCTACTAAAACTATCTTATCTCTCCTGCCTCACTGGATTCATTCATCAGTGTGTGTCAGTCTGGCTATTGCTTACTGCTCTCCTAAAATTGTTCTCACAAAAGAATCAACAGATCTCCAAACTGACATTTTTTGACTGCTTTCCATTTTCTTGAAACTCTGTCCCTTTTACATTTCGCCAACCTTTTTCGTTCTATGATACAGATCTAATTACTTGTTTCACTTTCAGTGGTTGGGCATTAAATATCTATAAGTTAAGATTTGAAATTATTAATGATTCAAATTTTTTAAAAAATTGGCTAACACATGCTCATTAACAAAATATTAACAAGTAGATAATAAATGAAGAGGACTCCTTTACACTGTCCCCTGACTTCTGTTTCCATCCTCACTGCTACCCACCCTCATCAGTCTCTTGGAAATGGTTTTTGGGTCATAAAATCTAGGACGGATTTTCTGACTTTCTCCTGCAGTAAGTCATCAGACTGTCTTGTGAGAGGTGTCCCTCCTACACCCAGACAAAAGGAGAATCCTTATCTCTGAAGGCAGCGACACAGAGAAGAATCTGAACAAACAGGTCTTGCTAAGTTTCTCCATGTTTATTAAATATTCGACAGTCCTTTTGGTCCTACCCTATTTCTGCACAGCTCTCCATTTGCCATCAAACCTAGTACAAAAATACTAAAGTTTAACATTTCTTTTGGGTCTTCATTTTCTTATGAAGCTTCCTATGTCACGTAAACAAACAAAGTTATATGTTGTTTTTTTCTTTTTTGGTTGTTGTTCTAGAGACCTCAGCCATTAGACCTAAGATGGATAGATCAAAAGATATTTTCCCTCACCACAGACTGTACAGTACATTCCTTCCAGTTTGACAATGTAGATGGAGGTCAGCCATGAGGGTTAAAGTCTTAAATTACCATTTCCTCAACACATTATACAAAGTAACACTGACATCTTGATGAAGATATTCATCCTGGGAATCATTTTGAAGAAGAGCCATACAAGTGTGTACAATACTACCATGGGTACTACTGTATACTCAACAAACATATATATTTGGCTTCCTTTCTTTATGGCAAGAGAGCTGGAGATGGAATCCTCAGGTAGGATTGGAAGAAAATCAAAATATGTAATGCTTAGAGCACATTTCTCATATGAATGACAAGAATCCTTGGAAGCTGAAGATTTATGAGTGTATTAGAATAGGGCAAGCACAGATTTTCTGAGAACCTAGTTGCTCAGGAGAGGGAGAAGATCGAGCTAATTGTCAAATGGGCTTCTTCAAGAAATAATGACAATGCAATCTGGGAGCTGATGCACACGGTGGCAGAAATGTAGAAAAGTCTGAAAGGACAGTGTGGAGCCTAGATGGTAGGGTTTTGTAGTCTCTCTATCCCTAAGATTCTATGACTTTGGGCCTTTTCGCATGGTTTTGTATGTGGCAGGGTAGAATTACCTCTTCTCCTCTATCTTTTCTTTCCACTTCTTTGATGCTGCTGTGTGCCTATGTGAAAGGAAAGAAAAGTATGATGAAAAAGAGCAAGTAACGCTGTTAGCTTACAAATACAAAAGAAAAATTCAATTATATGCTCTACTGTTCACACTGTAGGAGATGAAGGGCTGTGGATTCAGTGATACAGTCACCCACAGTTATGATCCCACACACCTCTACATTCCTTCATCATTGTCTGACCAACACTACTTAGAATTCATTACCCGAGTGGCTTACCTCCATTTCTTCTCAAAGAAAGTTTTACTGAATGTTCCTGATGGACATTTTGGAGCAGAAGCCAGAGACTGCTTGAATAAATTGGTTAGGTGGGCTGTAACTGTGAAAATACATTCATTTAGTGTTTAACTCTACTTCTTTACAATAAAACACAATTAACACCCAATTACTTATTGGGATTTTTTTTTTTTTTTTTTGGTACTGGGGATGGAACTCGAGTCCTTGCACTTACAAGGCAGGCGGCAGAACCACTGAGCTAAATCCCCAGTCCTCATTGAGATGTTTTTAAGAGTTTACATTAAATCTATAAGTGTTTGACAAAGTTTCAGTGGCCAAGCAGTAACACAACAGTAAACATATGACTTGTGTAAAATATACTTTTAGGAAATACTCATAGTCAGAATGTAAAATGTGGTGCCATCCTATTTACCCCACATCATCAAGGAAGCTGCATTCTACTTCTTAATTGAATTCTTTCATATCTGAAATAGCAAATCTTCAACAAATTACCATGATACTGAAAAATGCTTTTCTAAATGTGTCCTTGCTCCTCAAATCTAAGGATCTGAATAAAATACAATTGTTTAGAAATTTGGGTGGTGATATTTTTAGGGTTTATTCCTAGAACATGGTCTTGGTGAGATGTGAACAGCAGAGTGAAAATGAATATTTCCAGGTTCCATAATTAGATAAGCTTAGGAAACACTGACTTATACAAGGGCAAATATGTTTCATTATCACAGAACTTTTCTGTATTTTTCATTAATGTACAAGGTGACTTTGTAAGAAAATAAGATAATGTGCACGCACTAAGGAGGTCCTGAGTCGCACGGAAGATGCTGAATCACCCCACTGCAGACAGGCAGCCACCTGATTCCACACTACAAAGACGCAGAGGACACCAGACCACCAGGCCAAGGTACTGAGTCCCACTGTTTCTGGCCCAGAGGTAGGGGCTTCCCGGTCACCATTCCTCCTGCTGCTCCCAGCCCAGAGGAAAGGGCTTTTGGGCCACCTTCTGTCCCGCTGCTCCTGGCCCAGAGGGAGGGGCTTCTGAGCCACCATCCCACTGCTCCTGATCCAGAGGAAGGGGTTTCTCAGCCACCATCCCTCTGGCTGCTCCCAGCTCACAGGAAAGGGCTTTTGGGTCACCATCCCTACCGCTGCTCATGGCCCCTGTCCCATCTCACCCAGCTCAGAGGAGGTAATCCATGCAGGCGCTAACAGCCCCCCACCCCAGTCGAAATGAGAAAACACGTAAATAAGTCTCAAAACCAGACTTCCAGATCACCTACAGCAACCCCAAAGGGAAATGAGATGGAACACTCTAATACTCAACCACCTGGACCCACT